TTCTTTTTTCTTTTGCAATAAAATGGTGCATTTCTTTTTAAATAAAGATATTAAAGAGCAAATTGATCATCCTATCAGGTGAAATGGAGCAGCAATTATATATTATTTTTTAATCAGAGATATCCAGTTCGAATTCAAGTTTGAGTCCTCTCGACCATAAGTGTTTTCACCAATTTGATGAGTCAATCCTTCTACTTTGATCCTGCAGAAATTGTCTACTAATTAAAAAAGATTAATCTTTTATTATTTATACAATTACTAAACTAATATAAGATAGATATGATAAAAGAGATTAATTAAAAGAGATATATTAAATGTAGCAGCATAATTAACTCTTTTGTTTGTGTTTGTTGAAAGGCATATATTGTAGCAGTAATAGTCTTGCACTTATTTAAAAAGGAAAGAAAGAAAAGAAGTATAATATAGACATGGGCATGGGCGAAATAGTCGGAGCATGGAAAAACCCTTAAAAGAATAATATGTCTGGCTCGATATCAGTAGGATAATGAATGAAGGATTTGGATCGGTGAAGTTTGGTAAGAGCGGCCATGAATGGCGACAAACTAAATAGATGTGTTGAAAACTTGGGTATATAGGATGGAGAGAGATGGGAGATGGAGATGGAGATTGGGAGATGCATAGGAAAAGAGAAAAGGAGAGAAGGATAGGTCACCATAAGTGTAGTTAGTGTGTGACCAGTCCACAACCAAATACTCACTCCTTCCATCCACAAGTCTGTTCGATCACCCGTCCAAGCTGCTACAACGCCCACGCAAAAGTATTGTGTTACCGATGTACACCCATATGAAAGTGGACGTTGGTGGTGAGTGTGGTGTTCGATGGAAGGGGCTGTTTACGTTCGAAAGTATTTGTTCCCAACACAAAGACTTGGACTTGTCAGTTCAAATAGTACAGTACAGGGTGTTTCCATGAAGAAGTGAAGGCTGTCGAAGCAAGATTTTTTCTAGTTATGTATGTTGGTGAGGCTTCACGAGCTTTCCATGTATTTTAACATTGGTTGCGCGACTCTTTTAAAATTGCTAACTAAAAATTTGATTGCATTTTTATTTATTGATTTTATTTTGTGGAATTGTTATTTTATTTATTTTTTTTTTTATTCTTTAGGGTCTTATTATCAGGGGTAAGCAAGACCTACGCTTGAAATTAATTAAACATTATGAAATAGTCGGATTATGTATGGTGTATAAGGATGAGAGTGTTTAAAAGTAGATTTGTTGTAAATCAAAATGTGAAATAAACGCCGGTTTTTGACCAACCTGCGTAGAAAATGCTCATTAGTAGGTTAGAAGAGAAGCAGAAAGCAAATTAATGTTAACGAGCTTACCGATCGGCGGATACATAATAAATAGTTATGAATAGTATGGTAATTTTTTAAAAAAATAGAAAAAATAAAAAAAAAAAGGAGAGATGGGGCAAAGCAAGGTTGTTGACTGACAGAGGGCAAGCAAGATGATTAAAAGGAGAGATGGGGCAAAGCAATGTGACTTGACAGAGGGCAAGCAAGATGATCTAAAAAAATAATAATCAAGAAAGAACATGGGAGGGTCCACAATCACCGTTGGATTTAATTAAAAAGAGTCAAAAATTTGACTATCTGACCAGACCAGGACTCCTGGACCCTCATTTGACTATCTGACTTTTACATTTATTGCTCTTATAGTTAATTAGGGTTTTTTTGGAAGTATCTTCCTATCCTTCATTCTTGAGTTAGAGAGGTGGAGTTGTTGTTGTAGTTGTAGTATTTCTCTATTGCATGCCTTTTTCATCTATTGAGATTTCTGAAATTTTTGTACCTTTTATATATATTATTAAGAGTTAATAGGAAAGGCAGATGTCTCGTGAATGATTCTTTACAACCTCTGCAAACAACTTGACAACCCTAAATGCACTCCTCATAATATTCTGTCCCTTCTCTTTCTCTGCATGTGATTTATATATATATTGATTATTTATATATATATATATATTATATATATATATTATATGAATTTTACTTCAGTTTATACAATTCCATTAATATTCAAAATTATAATCTATATAATTAGTTCGGTTTACACATGAGTTTAATGTTGTTAACAGCACTAGGATAATATTAATTAGGTATCATCTCGTTGGTTTTTTAAATATTTTTTAACAGTATGGAGAGTGAGACATTGGAATTTGAGTCATATCTTTTGTTTTTTTTAAGTACTAGGGGAGGAAATTCAAATCTAAATCTATTGTCAAATCGTATATGAACTTACTATTAAATTATGCATTAGTGTGCAAGTGATATTTTTTGTTGTTTAACCCACGATGATGTGAGACACGACACTCATAAAATCGCTTAAAAAATTTTTAATTTTAGTACACAAAATAACTTTAATTTTAGTACACGACACTCAAGCAAAATGCATTATTTCTCTGGTTGAGCGGTGAGGTAGAATTCGAGTTATATCCTTTGAACCTTTGTTGTATATCTCACAATGACGTAAGACACGACACTCATAAAATAACTTCAGAAAAGACCTAATTTTGGTTAACAAGCTAACCTGAATACATCTTTAATCATAAATATGATAAATTATTCATTTTAAGCAAATTGTATTATTTCTCTGGTTGAGAAGTGTATAGCAAAATCATTATGTGAAAATGATATATATATATATATATATATAATATATATATATATATATATATATATATATATAATGGATGAAAATTAATTGTGGTGTGTTGTGGTGTGTATGGATGAAAATAATTGTGTGTGTGTGTGTGTGTGTGTTTAATTGTTGATCGTTGCCATATCAATCATGGAGGTTAGGGTTGGAGTTAATAAATTTAGCTGCCATGCATGTGGAGTGATAGGAACTTAACCTCTGAATCAGGGTAGAGAATTTTTTGACCCAGAAAAGGAATTGAATATCAGTTGTCATTTTATAGATTCGTGATTTTATTATATAAGAAGAAGCAACTCCTCTTTAATTAATTAATTCTGGATAAAATTTGTTATTTTCAATCTTATTATTAGATGAAATCATTATCTAATTGCACTCTTTTTCTGCATATATTAATTGTTGTTTTTTAAGTTTTGAATTGATAAGAATGATTCAGAAACTATTGGAATGTATATGTGTTTGTAGAGATTTAATTATCTTATTTATTCCTTTTATCTTAAAATATAAGTCGTTTGAGTAATTATTTTGTCCCAAAATATATGTCATTTGGAGTATTTTAAAGAGTAATAAATGATGTTTTCCAATATTACGCTTGCTTGTATTCGATACAACAGTTACTTTACAAGTTATCATTGGTTTTGAGGTAATTGGTAATTTGATTAAATTAACTTTGATTTTATAGCAGTTTTCTTATGTATATGTAAGAGAATATGATAAAAAGGCAATGTTTCACTTCTTCGATAAACAGTCGAGAAGGCAAAGAAAGTCACCGAAAAAGCCAAGAGCTTTCTTTTCTATGCCGCTAAAAAAGACAATGTCTCACTGCTTCGATAAATGGTCGAAAAAGCAAAAAAAAGTCATCAAAAAAGCCAAGAGCTTTCTTTTCTATCCCGCTAAAAAAGGCAATGTCTCACTGCTTTGATAAACGGTCGAAAAGCCGAAGAATAGTCACCGAAAAAGCTAAGAGCTTTCTTTTCTATCCCGCTCGTTCAATAGGCAAGAAAGGCCCAAAGCCAATCCCAAGGAACAGTGAAGCTTCATAGGGCGTTTCTGTCCAGTGCAGGTAGTCCGCATCAAAATTTCACTTATCAGATTCCGTTGTGGAAGACACTATTTTTTCTGAAGAATTTGCCATAATATATCTGATCCGTGCATAACATCATGAAAATCATTTATGAGAATTAATTGTACAATAATTTCACACCACTGATATTTAAAACAGAAAGACTAATAGATAACATGAGAATAACTTAAGAAGAGAGAAAAATTGACTCTTTTTTTTAAGTTATTGTCACAATATGTGACAATTATACAAAAGCGTTAGACAATCAATTTATCAAGAGTGGCCAAAGCAGTAAATACATTTAATTTCAGCGGATGATCCATAAGGTTAAAGATCCCAAGAATGGAAAAAATAGCCATAAAAAAAAAAAAAAAGACATTCACAAATCTCAAGACGGCAATAAATTTTATATCTAAAGAATATAGAGATACTCTTGCTATAAAAAAGAAAAAAAGTGTTAAATAGTTGCTTTGAAGAGTAGTTATAGAGATTGAAAAATGAAAAGAAAAAAAAAAAAGAATATATAGATAGATAGATAAAAATTAAGCACATGCAGATAATGTCAGTAGCGGTGGATAGATAGATAAAAATTAAGCACATGCAGATAATGTCAGTAGCGGTGGCGTTTAATACAAAGAAGTGGGAGTGCACAAAATTTGATAAAACAATATTCGAAAAAAAACAAACAAAAGGTATCTGAATGTGTTATTATTTCATGACTTGTCTGTTTCATTTTTTTTTTTAATTCTTTTTTTCGATCTTCATGTTTACCTTTTAAATAATATTCATTTATAATTTATTTAATTTGTTATGGATAAGATAAGAGCTTTTGAGCTGGCTCTTTTGTAGTTCTAGACTCACTATAAGCTCAAGCCCATTTATGTGCTAAGATATTTTCATGGTATTTCACATCTAAATGGAGTTTATTATTGCTTCAACTTTGTTGCACTACTTTAAAATGTTGATTTTTCTAAATTAGAAAAATAATGCATTTTTCTAATTTTCTTATTTAGCATTAGACATATATAATTAATATTTTATTGACATTAAACATTTATTTCATTTTACTTGAGTTTATCGAGATTGGCATTTAAAAGATTTTTGAACCTTTCCACCACCTAGATTTTGTGAAGATGGGCGTTTAAAAGATTTTTGAACTCTTTAGATTTTGTGGTTTTAGTATCAATCTAACATCCGCACCAGATGAAGTGATAGCTTGAGATGTAAGCTTATCTTACGTGAATCAATCACACATCAACTAAGCACAAAATAGAAATAATATACATAAAGATATATAAGTCTTAGACCAGCAAGATACATTAGCTTAGAAATGAGGCCTTAACCCAAGAATAAACCATATAGGCTGGCCCAAAGTGCACAATACTTTGCTAGGCCTGAGATATTACAAGCTTGATATCAGAGTAAAGCCTTGTCCTTATCTCGTATGCAGGAAGGATGGATGAAGTGTAACATCCGTGAAAGCCTTAGATTAGCAAGGCACGTTTTGGGCTTAAAGGTGATGCTCTATCCCAAAAACAAAACTGTCCAAACTAGACTTAAAAGCAGACAACACCTTGCTCGCTTGAGATATTATAATCAGAGCCTAATGAGTATCCATATGGTCCATGCTAAACCAGGTCTGTCGAGAATGTGAATTTGAAGGATTTCTAGCTTTTCTACAGCACCAAGAATTTCACATTCCATCCATCCGCCATTTCTATAACCAAGTTCCTATTTCAAGGACTGCAGTCAGCCGCTTCCCCTGTAGTCGTCTCTTTGTGGAAAAACGAGTACTTCCCTTTTGGATGGAATTCCATGACAGCCTTATTTTCCGGGCATTTATTTGGTTAGAAAAAGCTTTTGAATGTCTCTTCCAGGGCTTTCCAACGTATCAAATATAGAAATTGGAATTCCTATTCTATTTCTTCTTACATTCTGTGTATCAAATGAGGATAATACTTATTAAATCATAATAATAATTAATAAATTAAATGCAAATTAATTGAATCAAATATTGTAACTTCAGGAAACAGGTTGGCTGCAGAATCTTCAACACCAGTTTGAAATGCAGGGAACAAATATTTCACTCAACAAGAATTATTATATATGGAAGAAATGCATAATAATAATAATCCTAAGGTGATAGCACCAACAAATGTTCTATGGGGATAACAAACTAACCGATTTGTAGTTGAATCTCATATACATTTATCAACAAGAATTAGGTCAAGCCAACAATAAGTAGATGTGAATAATGTAAAGGGAATGATCTAAATTCTAAAGCTAAATTCGATCACCTGCTTTTTGACTCGTTCTCAGCTAGCTTATTCCTCAAATCCTTGAGAGCATCTACAACTTCAGAATCAAGATTGTGCTTTAACAATCTACCTTGAAAAGAAGTCCTAAGAAGATCAAGAAGACAATTAAGTATTCTAACCATCAAAGCCACAATGTAGCTTTTCTAATGTCAAACCCAGTGCCACAGCGTCATAATCAACCGAAATAAATAACCAAATAAATACATCCCTCCAGGAACCTTATCTTGCCTGGAGGATGTTTTGTGTGGATACGTTTTTCCAAAATAATCAGGATGAAAAAGTAACATTTACGATCATCATGTTATCTATTTGCAATATAAATAATATTCGCTTCAAATGGACAGTACCTTTGTTCTTGTAGCATCCTCTCCATTTCCTTATGTGATGCCTTAATCTAAACTCAGAATGTTAAGAGAGATTGAAAAGGAAATTATGCATTAAAAATTTGTGATCAGAGATTTAAAAATCAATGACATGTGTAGAAAACAAGATATTCCTCACTTCAGAAACCAAAGCCTTGCAACTCCAAACAAAGGCTCCCTGACAAATAAATGCAAATCAGACCCTCAGGCGGTTGATAGACAATGATAAATCAGCGTCAGAATATGTTAGTTGTAAACAAATAACAAACATCTTTGATGTCTTGGGTGTGTGTGATGTCATTAATCAAAAAGTTTTTTGTTTGTTGGTTTGAACAATGCACCAAAAAGTACTATAAATAAGTATTTAATTATTTTTTTATCAACCATTAATCTGTTAGATAACATTAAATATTCTGTGTAATACTAATTAAACACATGGCAAAGATTTACACTGAAAAATAGATGGAGAATTTAACATGTAAATATAGATGGAGAAATTTAACATGTAATAATCTCTTTGCCAAAAATTTTAGTTATTAAGGTCCAATTATTGGCCAAGCAAGGCGGATGCAAATGCAATATTGGTTTCAATATGGCCCTTCTAAAATGATCAATCAACGGGTGGATAGATCTTTTGATTTGTCTTTAGTTTTTCTTTTATTTTTACATAGATTAAGCCTGTCACATTTGCAATATAGTATCTAAAAACATGCCTAAAACAGTTTATTTCCAAACGTACAAGTCAAAAATTGAAAACAGGAAGAAAGTTCAGGCCTTCCAGATATTAACAACCAATAAATTTACTACATAAGCAATTCAATTGAAATAATAGTCTACCTGTCAAGAGAATGCATACTGCTACATGTGCAGCATGTTGTTGCATATGAATCAAGAAGTCACAACCCAATACTTTCGTGCAGCATGTTGTTGCATATGATCAGAAGTCACAACCCATACTTTCGGGCATCCATCCTCCCTCAAGGCAACCACCTGTTAGAGAAACAAAGATGCAATGACTAATAAATACCATGACAAAAAGAAATATGAAACCAGCAAATATAAAGGATTATTACTGTTACAGACAGTAATAGATAATGGTGACACTGCACAAATGCAGAAGGTCCTACTTGGAAATGTTCATTTTTCAATTTTTATGTGAGCTCGACTGCTGAACCTGGGATTGGGACCTTCCTACTTCCGACATTTTGCATGATGAACAAACATAGCAAACCCAACAAAGTTTGTCTCTGGCACTACTTCTCACAATCCAAGTGAGTATACACCAACAGACATGGGTGGAAAAAACAAAAGTGACATGAGAAAGACAGAGAACCTACCAAAATTGCATCCCACTTAGGATAACGGCAGAGAAGAAAATGACCGCCAAGATGACAGAAATAGAGGGCATTCTATGATCAATAAAAAAGGACGAGGTGGCACTCAATCCAGCATATAACAACTTCCTATTATTAACATAGTTGCAAACAAAGATGCTATCTTCATGTAATAACACACCTCTTTTTCAATCCATGCATCAGCACATGATTCACCAGAGAAAACCACATCAACACTGCAACATTTGCAAATTCACATTATCACAATATGCAAAATCTAATAACAAAATCAACATTGGAGGAAAAGAAATAATGCATAATATAAATAAATTAAAAAATGGAAAATTTTCCAGAAAAGTTAGATTGTGGCTCCAGGTGGTCCAGGAACAGTATTGTCTTCAGGACAACTAAAGTGAAAAACAGCATTGCCTCCATGGATATTTACAACACCAAAAATCTTCAGTTAAACAGTAGACCCCCTGGAAACAGGTAACAAGTAACAAGTATGTGCAAGAAACTTGAAGAGAAGTGCATTCTCTAAAGGGGCATGCAGTCCAAAGCAGAAGCATACACTCAGTAACGTGCATGGATGGATGCACATGCAAGGGAAAAATCAGATAAGAATTAGAACATTACTATCATGCAGAGATGATGAACATTTTATCAATTTAACTTTGATGAATAGCACAGGGCTGTAAGAAGTTAATGATAAAATGTTAATTATAGCATAGGATCATAAATAGTACCCAGCAAAAGTTTCCTTGTGAGTGGGAAGCCCTGACATCATGGCATCAAAGACAACTACCACTTTGACATCTGAAAAAATTAGCAGATAGATAAATGCATGAACAACATCACAATGCACATAATTCGACCACAGCTGCTCACAAAAATTTATTTGAAAAAGACAATAGAAGAAAATAGTTACACATAATTCAAAATCTATGGACAAATGACCGACAACTATTAAATGTAAATTCTGAATAAAACAACAAACAAGCAATAGTTACACTTCCAAGTTTCCAGACCTCAATTTTCTAGTAAATATTGCCACAATTTACAAGCCAATTGAAGTGAATAATCAAATTACAATTCCATTCCGTCACTCTTATGAAAAATAACCAAGCAATATTGGCTGCAGAAAGCAACACAACTACATAATCAAGTGTCCCCATGTCCAAGTCATGTGCCATCCCCCTCACATTTTGATAGACACATGCATGCATAACTATTCAGCCCTAACAAAACCTGAATTAGTTAGATCAATCATCACTTCGCATTAATTTTATGTGAAAGGCAATTTACAATCATGTAAATTATAGAGCATAGAAAGGTATAGGTCGAGTATTGGTTGAGGCCAGGACACCATTTATTTACAGGTTCCTTGGCAGTTCCCTTCTAATAATTGACCAGGAAGCAATGAAAAACAGCAACGAAAGTTGAATTTTTGTTTTGCTGGAACTATAGTTGAAAGTATATCAAAACTACGCATCTTGTTAAGTTATGTTGCACAGCACAAAAGAAACATGTACTCACAATTCACGACAAAGTAAAAATGCACTTAGTTCTTACTATGATTACTTATCTAATTTATATATTCTTTTCCTTATGAAAATAGCAAAATGTCTGTCAATCTAAATAATCATCCTCACACTCCTTTTCAATCATAGTATCCTCTGAAGCATAACAGGCACAATTTGGTAATTGATTAAACATCCCAATGCTATCCAGCTAGGAATCTGGAATGTATCCCACAAAATATGGAAATTCTCAATGTTTATCCATCCATGTGCATAGGCACATTGCTTGTATAAAAAACTAAACAAGTGCTCAAGTTTCTGTCCCTATGTCAATGATCGTACGTATTCATTTTCAGGTGACAAAAGAAAGGAAAAGGGAAATATTGTTTCCTCTACCTTATAGAAAACCATTTTAAGTCCATGGAAAAAACATTACAGACACAATGGATTAGACAGAGAACGGGAATAAAATGCAGAAAGTCCCTTACCCTCCTTTTGTGAATGAGAATACAGACATAAATATACACAAAAATAGTACAGGGCCATTTCACCCTTGCCTGTGGCATGTACATATAAGAAATCATCTCAATTTTGTCATCAAAATAGGATCAGACTAGTGTACATGCAAGGATGTCTTTTTATTTAAGTAAAAGGAGAACTAAGTGCAAACCTCTGAGCATACTAAATGTTACAAGCTCATCAATTAATTTTTGTCGTGCAATATCAAGTCTGCCATTCATAAAATGCTTCTTCAGCTTCGCCCAATAGCCACATACATTATACCCATCAACAAGCAAGACAGGGACAGCATTGTCCAAAATCTGGTTTGTACTGTAAATTATAGTGAGTACATCTTTTTTTTTTTTTTTTTTTTTTTGCCCTTTTCCTTCCTCTGAATGTAGCGAGAAAGTAAAAGGAATATGCTCGTAGAGGATGCTTGCGATGGGATTAGAAATTGGCGGGAAGCCAAACAATTTTCTGAGGCTTCGCGCCTCGCGCCTTGATTTAGACTTCTTTTCTCCTAAACAAGTAATTGACCTGCCCCAAAAACATATGGAATTGCAATCATATATATTTGAATTAATTATTACTCATAGTAATACTAGAGTTTGATTCAAAAGTTAAAATCTAATTTTTTCATTTAAATTAAATTTATGTATTTGTCAGATTTAATTACAACAATACTCCAACCTTAACGTCAACTTTCAAAACTAATAAACTATATTATTGTTACAATGTCAAATTTTATATTACAAAATGATAAATTTTATTTTATTTGTTTTTAAATAAAACCACACTAAGCAACGTAAGAAAAACCTTTTCACGAGTTTGGATATAATATTTACCAATTTTATTAATTAAAAGCTTTTTTTTTTTACTTTATTGGTAATTTGGTTATCAATTCAATTGTTATTTGTAGTTTTAATGAAACTAACACGTTACTTTTTACACGTTTTTTTTATCATTAGGTAAAAAAAATGTCAATAAATAGAATTAGAGAGAAACTACTGTGAACACCAAAACGAGATTAACCTTATGTTAAAAAAATGCAATGATCCTTGTAGAAGTACTAAGAAACAAAAGTCGGATAATTATAGTTGTTACTAATGTAGCTATTTATACATGTTCAAAAGCTCATTTAAAACGCATCAATTATAATTTTTATCACAAATTCGATTAATGTTGTTGATATATCAGTAGTTTATTATTTTTTTATAATTCTAACGGATATAAAATTAACAAAACTATAAAAGTATCTAATGGCAAAAAAAAAAAAAAAAAAACAGGCTTTAGAATATAATGATTCAATACAATAAAAAACATTCTCATCCAATCAACATTACCCTTCATCCAAATAATCATCAAGATGTTGCATGTCCTAACATCATTAGAGTAAATACGCAATCACTATTGTCCTAATCAGTCCAGGATTTCCGATAAGGATGGAAAAAGACAAAAGTATCTCATCATAAAATGACAAATGGCTCCTGTAAATACATTAATAGACTATAAAAACTATATCAGACTTGATCAGAATGAGGCTAATGCCTCGCACGATAATGAAAAACTGGAGCACTTTCTCGGAATAGTAATACTAAGGTTTTTTTTCTGATTAAAATAGCAAGTAGCGGTTAATTCTCACCGGGATGGAGAACTTGGATCCAAAAAATAATATTCCAGCGGGAAATGCAGCTAAGGTCAAGTATTTCGCAAACCAAAAATTAAAAAAAATAAAAAAAAATTCAGGACTAGATTACGGTGCAAAAGTTGGAGCAAGCTGAATTCTGAGACATGGGGCCATAGTGCTACAGAGCATTGAAAAACAAATCTAATAGTACCCATCAAACATACACCCTAATGGAGATGATTATCAAACAACATTAGAGTCATAGCAAATAAACATAGACCGAGTTCAGATTAGCATTACGTGGAGAATCTACATTATGCTAACAGACTAATTTTAGCTTAAAAAAAAAAATAGTTAAAAGAAATGGAAATGGAAGAGAAAAGATAACCTTAGGAAAAGAAGACCGAGGCTTCTTGCTCTTCCCCATTACAATAACAATCTTGCAGCCATGAGAAGAAGAAGAAGGGGCCGATGAAGGCGAAGCACAATATCCACCGCCATGAGCACCAGACGAGTATGGTAATATAAACATTTCCATGGGTTTATTTTTGTTTCACTTTGAACCAATAGGTTTCTTCTTCTTCTTCTTCTTCTTCTTCTTCTTCTTCTTCTTTCTCAATTGTAGCTGTTACAATTAGGATTCGGAGCTTGGACATGGAGAAGAAGATGAAGAACCCAAAATCAGTAACAGAACAGTAAATACGAAATTGAAGAGGAAAGATGTGGATAATATATGGACAGAGAGGACAGACGATGATCTCGTCTTCCTTTCTTCCCACTTCCAGTTTTGTTTTAACTGCAGTATTCAATAGAACGACACGCCGTCTCTCTCTTTTGTTTTTTTTTTTTTTCTTCTTTTGTTTGTGTTCGCTAGATTATGGACCTATGGTAAACATATCAAGGGCTAGGCCCAAACTTCAAATTTATGAAAAGAAATTGCAAATCAAGTGAATTAGACTTTTTAGAAATTTTCAATTATTAGGTATTTTGCTCGAGTCGTTCGTGCTGTACTTTTTTAGTTTGCCAAAGGATTTTAAGTTGTAGTTCATACGTATTTAAAGTTAAATATATGTATATTTTAAGCGCAAAAATGATGATATATATGGCTAAAATTGTATTATTTTGGATGCTAAAATTAGGATAATATAGTTTTAGTTATTATTATGTGATAAAAAAAAATTATAAGGTGAATTGAATTGTAGACTTTATGGCATGTGTTTTGATAAATTTATTGCAAATTATTATTTTTTGAATGAAACATTTTCAATTATTATAATTATAAATATTATAGGGGTATTCTTATCATTTCTAATGTCTCAATTTAATTGATACAATTTTACTTCCCGAGAATTCAGTGTATCAACCAAACACATTACATTGGACTTCCTGAAAAGTAAATTCCCAAAAATTCTACTTCACTTCTAGAAAGTAAATCGAAATGAACCAAACGATACCTAAAATAATTCACAGATTAAGAATAGTTTTATTTTATTTAAATAAGAGATAATGTATCAATTTTTATTCATATAACAATAGAAAATGGAAATTAGTCAAACGTTAATTTTGTTAATCTTCATACGTTAGAATCCTTTTTTTTAATTTTGGCATTTATATAAACAATTATATTAAAATATAAATTTAGAATAAATATACGATGTATTTTTTATAGTAGAATGTATTTTAATATTTTAAAACTAAAATTATATTTTCACTATTCCCATAATATTTAAATGATTTTTTTTCTAAAATTTATGTTATTGTTGTTGAATAAGCCATTAATTGAATATTTTTTTTAAAAAAAGAAAATGTTATTGAATAGTTGATTTTTAAATAATGAAACAATTTTTTTTAATACATTGGAGGTCTTTATTGGCCAAAATAACACTGTGGATAATCTTCCCATTGACTCACCAAATTGGTAAAAATAATTATGGTCGAGATGACTCAAATTCGAGATGTCTCGCTCCTCACATAAGTAAGAAGACCGATCAGACTACCACCTAATTAGCTAAATAATGAAATGATTATTTTTTAAATTTATTTGTACCAAATGAAGTATTATTTATATGAAATTTTTTGGTTATTAATTCATGACTTGTGTACATATATTTAATTTAATTTTCAATTTAAATAAATAAAAATATGATAGTTAAATAAATATATTTATTAAATATTGCTAATGGCTAAATGCCAATCGCTAGCCCTTTGGTTTTTTTTTTTTTTAGAAAAATCAAAGTAGAATTTCATTAATTAAAAATTGTATACAGATATGTGACACAGATCAATATATTTCTATATTTTTATATGGAAAGTCTAATAATAAACGACTTATACAAAAAATAAAAAAATACAATCTTGATTTGAAGTATCTGATCGAGTTGACAGAGTATAATATTTGTGTCTGTCACGACCCATTTCCGTGGGCCGGACTTATATTTTTATATGGAAAGTCCCTAATTAATAAACGACTTATTACAAAAATAAAAAAATACAATCTTGATTTGGAAGTAATCTGATCGAGTTGAACAGAGGTATAATATTTGTGGTCTGTCACGACCCATTTTCCGTGGGCCGGACCGGCAACTAGGGCCCAGGTAAGCTTTAAGGCCCCGAGGCCCGTAGTAAGCCTGAAAACACTAAAAAATTTACTATCTCAATAATAATATTAAACATTTAGTCCATAATGATTATGAAATAACCTCAAGATTTTTATTAAAATCTTCGGCCCGAATTTAATCGGCTACAACATTCCAACAGTTCGGGCCTAATTTAACAATGCATCACAATTTACAATATGGATCCACAATAATTATCTCGTCTATAATAATACCGATTAAAGTATACATAATTCCTACAACTGCGGAGTCACACTAACTGTTAGTAATACATAGTAAAATAATTAATGGATCTAGGAAATTGTTTTATTGCCCCTGCGCCGATTATGAATCCATAGCCTAAATCGTGATTAAGGAAAAACCTACTTCCTGAAAATCAAAACAAGACATGGTGAGTTTTCTAGGAGTAATAAATTTATTTGCACAATACACACAGTCACAACAAATGTGTACACACTATTAATCTAGTCATCCCGACTAGTTATAATGCTTCACGCAAGCCAGTCACACAAATGGCATATCACCAGCCACTCACAATCATACGCAATCTTCATATAATCACATCAAAAGTTGGAAATTTTAGTCAGTGGCGGCCACTGAACACCCCAACCGAGCCGTCCTCACACCTCGGCTTCGCACCTCTCATACATGTGCACGCAGGGAGCCGATCCCCCATACGGCCAACTGGTTTTATCCTACTGACCAGTTCTATCATTGTATTTTCCAATTTCTCCTGCTTTTTCTTTTCCATACCAAACAGGAGGCAACCCGGTGGTCTCCCATCCAATCTAGATCATCAAAGTGGCTCACAACAGGAGGCCACCCTGCGGGCTACAATCAATCTAGATTATCAGGTGCGCAACAACAAAGAGCCTATATATTCCTGTGGTTTTCCACAAATCCATATCAATCAGGTGCACACGGGGGCGCCGATGCTCCCATTTTCCTGTGCCGACGGTCCAATATTCTATAATATTCGGATCCATATTCAAAACCGTCCTCACAACCACGGTGGTCCACTTCATCCAATTCCACACAACAAAGCATAGCATTAATCACAACCACAATTTAATCAAACATTGCAAATCAATATGCAGAACATATTAATCAATTACAACATCGTAATGCAATGCAACAATTAACAATCCAAAATCAATGCAAATAAATAAATAAATAGTTTCACAATAAATCAACATAATTAATAAATAACAATATTAACAATTAATGAAAATAAATAAATAAATATGTAAATAATTAAATGATATAAAGACTAGTAAATAATCAGAGCACTATCATTTATTATTATACAAATTAATAGAATAATCTTAAATAACTTATTAATTATGTTTGTTAATAAAATCTTAGTCCTAATTTTTATTCAAATTTTTCGGCAGCACCTCCTCCCCTAAAATTGAAACTATCTCCTGCTCACATATCACAATATCATTATATCTTTATCAATCAATGCACACAGCCACCATCCGTCGGGCAATCAATCAATTTAAAAATCCCATCCTCCTTCCATAAAACAACAATCAACCTCAACCATTTACAAACTAATTCTAATAATATCCATATGAGATCATTTATTAAGTCATTAATTAATTAAATTATTAGCTTTACGGTAACTAATTTGTTAAACAGCTAAAACATATTTTAACCATAACTAATTATAACTACTACCTATAAAAATTCAATTTTTTTATATCAATATCGAAAATGGCTAGGCCTCCCAAATCTTAATTTATCGAATTTCGATTCTAGTCGTTAACCAACTAAAATTCGCCTTATTTCTCTTATGCACAATCGGCTAGTTTTAATCTAATGGTTATCTAATTGACTAATTAACTAATTCTAATTTATTCTTTCTCCTCAAATCACCTAATCATAATATTAATCATGTAATTTATTTGACAATGTTCTAAACTAATTTACAATTACATTATTCTAAAGTCCTAAACCAGTTAACAAATTATGTTCGCTATCCAAATACGCACACTAATCAATCTAATTTATTTACAAAAGACCATAAATGTTCATATATTTTTAAGTTAATCCAATAAGTTAATGTCTTGTTATTCAATTTAGTCTAGTTAATAACTCAATTAAATTCATTAATCAATTAATGCTTTATATATAAAAATTGAGAATTAAGTCTTAGAACGTACCCATTGGGAATCGGGCGACGATTCCATGATTAGCGGGAAGAGAAGAGGATTCTGTCTCTCGGGGCCTCGCCGGAGCGCCGCCGGCCGGTCACCTGACCGCCGCCGCCGACCGCCGTGCACGGTGCGGAACCGGTCACCGGCACCGCCCACCGTCGACCGCCGTGCACTCGCTGTTGGTCGGGAAAATCGGAAAACTTGCCTGAAACGTGAAGCACTCTTTACACCATTAGACTCGTTTTTCTGCCAGAAGTCCAGATTTCAGGCCGTCGTGAGCGAGATCAGTTCCCTCTCGTTTGGTTTTGAAACGGTCTCGCCAGGAGCATAGAGTCGCCACCCAACGTTGCTTGCCAATCCATGGAAGAGAGTGCGCACTCCCTGGAATCGCAAGCCGGAAGAAGAGGAGTGAGATCAAGCGTGGTCTGTGGCGAACTCTGATGCGCGCTGAGTTATGGCGGCCTGCTGCTCTCTGTGATCGAAGAAGAGGGAGCGAGGGGCTGTTGCAGAATCGCAGCTTTCAGCGACAGCCTTTCGCTTTAGAGCTCTTGAACGAGGGAGGCGCGTGTGACAAGGGACCGACTCTGCAGCGGCGAGGCAGACATCGGCGAGAAGCTCAGGTGCTGGATCGGGGTAAGGGAAAGGGGGCAGTCGCGGCGCCTGGAGAAGAGAGAAGGGAAAGAAAGAAGAAAAGAAATAATCTAGGACATTTCCGTTTGCATTCGGATCGGTTCGGTCCGAATTTAGTGGATTTTTTGGTACTCATTGTTTCGTTATGCAGGTTTTTTTTTTTTTTTTTTTTTTTTAATTTATTTATTTTTTTTTTTTCTTTTCAAGCTGTTTGTGTGCGGTTTTTTCGAAAGGTCCAATTTTGTTTTTAAAGTTCCAGTTCTGATTTATTTTAATTATTTAGTTTGGGTTTCCATAATATTTTTCTCCATTTACTCAATATTAATTAATAAAATGATTAATAGTAACAATATTTTTGGTTTAAGATATAATTAATTTCATACATATTCATAATAAGTTAGTAAATTAAGGTTTGCGTATTATTTCTTTCAAAATTAAATTCATTCTCCAAATCGACAAATTCCGATGATGTATTTGGGCTTAGCGCCCAACTCACAAATTGGGCTCGAATTGAGATTGTTTAACTTATTTATTATAGCCCAAATAGTTGAAAGTCGATATTTTTGATTTATTAAAAATTGCGAAAGTTTCATCGAAAATTAAAATTCGGAGGTGTTTTCAATCTCCCCCCCGCTTAAGACAATTCGTTCCTCGAATTGAATTCTAACAGGAGAACCAGCGTAAGATGGATACATAGGGAATTCAAAGTCATTAGAAATTACTTCCATCACTATGGAGATAGCTCAAGAGTGGATATATGAACCGAGGAAAGAAAAAAATTAGTCAGGTATTCTAATTGTTAATTCTATCGCCAACCATCCTATTTAGTACCTCCTTAGTTTAAAACTTACAAGAACTTGAGATTCATTACCTAAAATCGTCCAAATTTACTATCTTCAGTCAAGCTACTGAACATCTTTAGGAAATCTGTCTTTAAATAAAAAAGCTTTTACAATAAAACCGGATTTATTCAAGAAGATGCATTAATAGTATGTCATCTATAATTCTTAAAAATTATATAATTTCCTTTTGAGATTTTAAATTTTCATTAAGCATTCCTTTATGAAAACCTAAACAATAGTTTACAAATTACAAAAACGACTGAAATTTAATATTTAGCTTAAATTAATAACGATTATAACTCGTTTAATTTACGATATATTATTACCTAAAACTTTTCTTAATTCAAAAAGTTCAGAAACCACTACCTTTAATCCATAACTTTAAGAAAAATTCGTTTGTAACTTTCCATTGTCTACTTAGTATCACAGGGCCGACTTTGCGGCTCACTTCTCTTAGTTTCTTACCTATTACTGTGCTCTGGTTTTCCCTATAATATTCTTATTTATTAGATGGGTGGCCAATTATTTAGATAGTCATTGATCTAATGACCTCACGTGTACCGCCAGTTATCATGCGCCTCTATAAAGATTTTAATGCTATTTAACTTTAACTATCCAATTTCGCTTTAACTTAATCTGTTCAAGTGCCCTAAAACTTATCAACTTAAAATTGCATTTTCGCTAATAACACACCTTTTTGCTAATTTACATTCCAGCTTCCTTAACTCTTTCTTTCTATACCCTCCTTGTCACACCTATGTTGCTTATCAGTACCACTATGAGATGGTTTTTTAGAGTACCTCTTTTATTAATTATTTCGTCTGTTAATTATCGTTATCGTGATCCATCTAATTCCACCAACATTTCAATTCTAAAACTTATTACTCACTCTCAATATACGCTTTCATCTAATACACAGCAATGACTTAATGTCTTAAGTCCTAACGCCTAATCGCTATCCTTTCCATTTATTTGCAACCTAGCTTCTAAACTAGACAGAATTGTCTCCTCAAACCTTTCCCAATGTTTTATGTTTTCTTACTTAGGCCAACTAACTGCCTACTTTACTTAATATCATCATCACCCACTTTCTTTTCTCTTTTCAATCTTTCTTAATATTTACTATCCCTCAATAATCATTTCATTTTATGATCTAAATCCAATTTGGCCCCTGTGATAAAATAGACAACTTAAAAAATAATTTTCTATATGAATAATCAATTTCACTTATTTATCATAACACAATTTTTTTGAATTTCAAAATTAAAAGGGGTTTTAAATTTAAAATAGATGTCAGGTAAATAAAATGGAAAACAAAATAAAGGCTTATTATTTTTTTTGTAATAAACTCTAAAGAAATTCGGTAGCCCGAGCGAACAACTGTGTTGAAAAACTAGACACAAGATTTACTTAATTACTCTCAAAGTCTATTATTATGTCAGGAATCTACCATAACCAATAAAAATCCTGCTAAATTTTCTACACCTATCCTACTCCACGGACCAGGACATTAAAGAGTCACATGAAAAGTGGAGTTAGAGGACCGGTACTGAGTCACCTGCTGGCCCTAATCGAGCCATGAGTGGCTACAACGCTCCTTTCCCGAGGAAGAGCAATCTAAAT